GTTTGTATAGAATCCATACCAAATTACTTTTGGAACTTTAAGTAAGTTTAAATTTTTTTATTAATTTACTTTTAATTTAATAAAATATACTCTAATGAAAGTGAATTAGATTAAATTATATCAAATTATTTAATAAATTAAATTTTATATTTTATTCATTTTGAAATAAAAAATTAGTTTAATATAAATCGAAACCGTGCGGTTTAATTTGCAATATCGTAGAATATCGCAAACTAATTAAAATCTATTTTTATTCAAAATTTTGTGATAAATAATTAATTTAATATAAATTGCATCTGAGCGAATTATTTCAGTACAATTTATTATATTTCAACACTTTTACTAAAACGCACCTATAGTGATTTTCACCATAGGTAAACTGCACCTATGGTGAATTACATCCATAGTGAAATTCACCATAGGTGTATTATCATCTAAAGTGTACATGATTTATTTAACTAAATATTATAATTTTTATTATTAATAAATTACTATCGTGCTATGAATGTTGTCATGGAACGAATGTCGCCATGCAACAAACATTGTCGTGCAATGAACGCCCGTAGATCTTTCACAAAAACATTAATAAATAAATTTCTCTCTAACGCGATCTAACCTTAAGCCCAACCCTAACATTCCAATTAGATAAAAATCACAAGGGGAGATATTTTGTGGAGAGCTACCAACTATCGTGCAATAAACGTTGTCATGCAACGAACATTGTTGTGTAACAAAATTTCAAAATTAATACACCTCTAACAACATCATGATCGTTTTGCTACAACAATAACATGCAATAAAATTAACAATGAAAATATAAGCAAAATAAACACCATAACATGCCACTAGCGGCAACCCAGTAAAGTAACACCATCAGAGCCATGAAAAACACACCAATAATAATTCACTGAAAAAATAAGCTACAATAGCAGGGTTATAAATCACAGAACCAGAACAACACACTAACACGACAACAATGGAACCACCAGAATGACGATGAAGCCATGGATGAAGCCAAAAAACCAAACACACGAAGCCAAAAACCGATGATAAAGGAACTAAGATTATATCCAAAAGAAAAAAGCTTAGTATATTCACAAACTAGACAACAGATATAACAAATAAAAAGAATTACAAAAACCAGAAAGAAAAACCACCTTGAAAGCGTTTATAGAGAACCAACTTGAAGTGCTGCTAATAAAAACTACAAAAAAAAAAAAACAAAAATATATATTCTCAAGAGCTATGAAGAAAAAAATCAGCCTAAATACTATTCACAGTTATCTAGAAAAAGAAATGGTATTAGCTGAATGTGTTCAAAAAAAAAAAAAAACTAGCAAAAATTATAGGGCCACCACAAAGCTAGAAGAAACCCAACCAACTTAATTCAAAGGCAAAAATAGAACAACAAATGATCACCAAACCTAGTAACACTCATACTGCTCTCTAGAATAAGGGTGTTAAATCACCAAACACATCAACATACTAAAATTCACTACTGGCACACCAAATGTAATGAACGTCGAAATCTACTACTGGTGACACCAAACAAACACACCAAACATGCTGAAATCCACTGCTGGAGACACCAATCATACCAAACAGTTAAAAGGCCAAATCAAAATTTACTATTAGCAACATCAAACGACAACGGAAAATCTACACTAGAACATCAACTCGAAAGAGTACCTACCAATAGCAACGACGACAACACTGAATAAAATCTACCAATACAATGATGACACCAAACAACAGCATAAGATGAAAAGGCTAATTCAAAATCCACTACCGATGACACCAAGCAATGACGAAGAATCTACCACCAGAAAGTCAACGTGAAAAATTACCTGCCATTAGCAACACCTAAAAAAACCACCACCACATTGGTGGCAACACCAAATAGCGACGAAAGAAGAAGTTCCATTGACGAAACAGAGCACCAAAAAACAACGTCTACCTGCAGATCTGGATAAAAGAAAAGGTTGTTAATTAAACTTATACGTAGGCAAGAACTAAAACAAAAAAAATAAAAAAAAATCAAATCTCAAAATTGAGATGATCAGCATTTATATATATATATATATATCCCCATGATCAGAGTACACAAGCTCAAATCAAATAGGTGGAAAACTACAATATATGCATTTTATAATAATTGATATTTCAAACTGATTAAAAATATTTTTATTCAAAATTTTGTAATAATTAGGCCATACAAACTTATATTATTAGTTTTCATATCACCAAGTAACTTCTTGTAACCTGGCGATCTGGCTTTTAATTTTATTTTCAAAAAATTTTATATGTAAAAAACATATAAAATTTTTTTACAAAAATTTAAAAAAGT